AGTGTTCTGGAATGCTCAACTGCGGAGCTGGCACAGTCTGGCAAGCTCGACTGGTCGATTACATAGCTATGAGTGAAAGTAGTACGTATGTTCCTTCCATCTCAACACGAAATTTCACTGGGACAGTTTGACTTAGACAGATTCGGCTCGTCCGCCAACTGAGCCCACCCCGACCTAGCTCGCCACCAGGTGTCGCAAGGACCGGCTCATCTATACGGTCATCCAGACAAGCCAGGGAGCCGACGGCCTGCTACAGTATGGGCGGCATCAGCAGGTGGCTGTCTTGCCGCATCAGCTTCACAAATGGTTTTTCTGAGAAACTCTTGTTCTCTACACTCACCATAAAGGACACTCACCAAATCCAATATAGAGCTTAGCTGACCTATGGACCTTGGATGGTGAGATGTCCACAACCACGTGCCTGAACCCGTGCACGATGAGACTGCTCCTGAAGAGCACTGCAATGGAAACTCAACTAAAGTCCACTTGTTCATTGGTCAAACTTTCTATGGCGAACCTAATGACACGGTCCCACACTTCAAGACTATCTTGAAATAAGAAAACGGACAGGATTCGTGTAGATATGTTTCAACGATTCGTGGAAATCCCTTATCTATCAGCAAATGTCTGGTCCTTCACGGCCGTGCAGGTGTGATACTGCACCCATAAACAGCACAAGCACATTGATACCTGCAACCACATCTGCTCGTGGCTCCGCTCCTGGGAAAGTGCTACACTTGTAGCACCATAACGTTCTTGCAGTTCACCCAGTGAGAGGCCGCCACCTTCGGCCGGGTGTTCGTTCTAGCTGACGCCCAACAGAAAGAGACACAGTTTGCATGTTTCGCATGTGGTCAGATTCGTGTTATGGTCAGATGGTTGTAGCACAAGCTTGCTTGGGTTATGAGTTACACTGCGAAAAACAAGGCGTCAAACCCATGAACTGAATCGAGAACTTGTATCCGAGAGTAGTAGCAGCTATGCATGTGTCGGGGAACCCAGTGGAGCGCTGACAGTATCTGAACCAAACTGGAACCGCCAGTAGTATAGTCATAGTAGTCGGTTCTATCAGAAGTACACCCAACTGAGTCATGGGTCCAAATGGGTCCAAAGATCTATATACACCAAACGAAAAAGGTCAAAGCGCAGCTTTCTCCTTCCCTCTAGGGCGACAGCTCCCTTGGTGCTCCTGCCGGATATCAAGCTTCGACCTCCAAGGGTAAGGGGTCTTGTTTCTACTAGCTTCTTGTTACTACTAGTAAGGCACCTGTTACTACCAGTAAGGTACTTGTTACTAGTAGCTTCTTGTTCGGGCAGGAAAGGGCGTGGAAGGGCCATCTACTCACTGATGGTGCAGTCGTGAGCACACAAACACACTGAAAGGCTACCTCCCAAAGCCTGGAGTGCCTACACCTGTACCCCACTTCATTGTACCGGTCCCGCGCCTATGAGAACAAACAGGTGGTTGAACCTCTACAAGTAGCATATAGCAAGACCTTTCGATTGCAAAGCAAAACATTGACAAAGAGTAACTCTGTGATACCAAATTCTAGAGGAATCGGCAGCCAGGCACCCCTGCAGGCGAATGTGCTGTTGGCTTCCAGTCTCAATCCTGAGACAAACATGTGCCGGCTGTTCATATACTATAGAACTATAACACAGTACTATATATGTTTCTGTTTAAGGTGATAAAATCAATCTGGGGCGTGTCCAATATGTCCCGTGTCGTTGGCAAAAGACTTCCATTATCTGGTCCTTGCTTTGTCCACCTTTAGGTGGAGATTTGGGGAATGCATGCTGAGCATTCAGTGTAGACGGTGTTGGCTTACAGTGTACAGCCTTCTTTTTTGAGGTTTGAACAACAGTGCAGGGAGCATGCGTATCACTCAGATGCCACTCACGTCACTTGTTCCATACGGATTAAGAAACAAATTGCTTACAGGCAACAGAAAGAACAAAAAACGCACTCTGCAGCTCAATGAAAATGAAGAACCTCACACAACCACAAGAGACCACAAGTAACTCGGTATGTACTACAGTCAAATGAGCCTCTCGGCTCTCAGGCCATCAGCAACAGGCAAGTTCTTTGGGAACTTGAGCTGCCATTCATCGGCTATTCAGCAGCTTTTTGAGAGCCGAGCAGTGACTGTGGAGCAGTTGCTGCTTCCTGACAAAAGCTGTGCATGTCTTCTGCCCAGTGGAATCTCTTTACGCCCACTGAAATCCAATAGTGTCAAATATCTATCCACTTCTCTCAGACTCCAAAGGCTCCAATCCAAACATTGCAAACACAAGGCTTTCGCCATGGTATTCTTTCCAGCATGTTTCTCATGTTGTCTCGCCTGGCAGGGGCAGCCCTGGCGGTCAATATGTGCAATCGACTTGGCTACTCGACGTCGCGTAGAGCAGTGAGGCAGTGCTGGGATCTATATTAATATCCAAATCTATCAAACGTCCCTTCGTTCAAAAGAACCTGAGGAATCCTAAAGATTTCAGTGACATACAAGTCTAGCTGTCGGTCCCTTTGCTCAAGGTGGTCATCCAGTTTAGGCAATGGTTGGCCCTCCTTAGCGAGCTAACCGGGTACTCTCCTAGGTGAGTTGCCTGTGGCATAGTTCGCCCAAGTGTCGAAACTCCCAAAGAGCGTGAGTCTTTGTCTTGCCTGCATGTGACGCCCATCGAACGGGGGGGTAGTGTGTTAAGTGTTGACCTGACGTGCGATTCTGACATGGCCATGTGGAGAAGCATGAATCAGACATTGGAGAAGCTGATTGGCACTTCACTCGAAATGCTGCCATTTCTAGAGTTGAAGCAGCTTCTTGAAGTGCATGTCTGAGTCCCAGTCTAGTCTGAGTGGATCTTGGGATTCAGAACTTCCCGCCCACTCACTGGCTGCTTGTACAACCGAACCTCCTGGGTGTCGCTCAACACAAGGCCGAGGACCTCAGGAAACAAAGAGGAACAGAGAATCCAGAAAGCCTGAGAAGCCATGAAAGCATTAAAAATGTCGTGCACTTCAATACCAGAATTCATTAGAGAATAGATCTTAGAATTCTGTTGCATCGAATTGGGCAGTACTTGAGCCAACTGACTGAAGCTTCCAGGGCCGTCGGTAGTGTTCGATGGAGTTGCAGAAAGGCTGCTGACCATCATGGCTTATAGTATAACTAGTGGAACCAAACAACCACAAATGAACGCCAATGAAATATGTCCAGCAAAACATGTGATGAAGCTGCAAACAAAAAATGTATATCATCTCAGCCTGTTGCAGCGTGGAAGCCTCAAAAGGCATTGGGGTGGATTGCACCTTTTTCTACTCTTACACTACATGATCCCAAACATTCCTACTGCTGCATCCTGATGGAATAAGGATTAAAACACATGCTGGGGATCAGGTGCTTGCTGTCCTTGCTGTAGAACCTAGAATCCTAGAAACTTGAAACACAACTCAGTAAACTGGCCTTTGCGAATCAATGATCCATTTGTGTTCGTGTCAGTACTCACCCCAGACTTCCTTGACTTCCTTGATTTTGGTCACATGATAGGCAATTTGTACAAAGACATGGCAAAGCAAAGTTGTTCTTGTTGGAAATGCTGCATGAATGCTGCCCCCCAACATGTTCATCTTCACAGCAAGTCCATAATCAAATACCGCCTCAGTTACGTGCACTCTTATCTTTTGATACTGTACTTCGATGCTTAAACAAATTACCTAGCTCTGGCGCCCTCTGCTCTAGTGCAAGCTTTAGTGATTGATTTTTCCTTCCTGTCCCTCTGGTTCTCCGCCTCCAAGCAAGACCCCGGCCAGCTTCCTGAGCTATTGATTCTGCACCAGTTTTGTCTCTTTCTTCTCACCCACTTGCATGGTTTCTCGATGTAGCTTGCGCTGAAGCCCGTCAACACTGTCGATAGATTGAATCGCGTCAAAGAACATGTCACAAGTGTTGTGTGAAGAATTGGATCTTGAACATGGATCTAGCCGCAATCTATATAGCCATATCAAGCCTCTTGGTCACTTCTAGCCAAGGCTCATTTGCGGGCGCCCCCAGCAGATGGGGCTACTCTGAGCCAACAGCAGGTGCCAGGAATTGTTTGCTGATTCTGAACCTCCAAAGAGAAACTGTTCTTAGACAATCTTTAGACACGATGTAGCAAGTTGCTTTGCAAGGCCAGCCAGGGGTGCGTTGAGCTCAAGACCTGTCAGACAGTCTAAATATGTTGCCAAGCTGAAACTTTGTGGATCTTTCAGAATTTCACGGCCTGCTGATATCGATATTGATGTGCAGCTAGATACATTTCAAGAATACAGGACGATTTGTTTCAAGCAAACAATCGAACCGAATAGAAATCTTCATCCAACAACAAACCAATTGAACGTCCTTCCAGCCGCAGCCATTTTGCTCATAAGGTTTCCTAAAGACCTTGCAAGGCTGCGCTGCGCGCCCGAAAAATCGCTCAGAAACCTTGGCCTTCAATCAGTCTTTCGAGCACATTGCACAGCCCTGCGCGATCGCGAATTTCAAAAGATATGTCATTCAGCGAGGTCCTGAAAGTGAAGATCACCGATTCAAATAAAGCAGGAAATGTGATGTTTGGGGCTCATTTGACATCATATATTTACGTTCAGTTGAATTGTGTTGTTTGATGTTGCTTGCTTCGAGACCTCAAAGGGGGAGATGTGGATATCTTTGGCCCCCTGGGAAGATACCGTGAGATCCCTGCAGCCACCCTCACAAGCTCAAATGCCCACAAGCTCAAATGACACATCCCGGTGTGTTTGAGTTGGTGACGATTCACAATGAAGAACACCGTGGATTCCTGGATATTGTAGAGCTTGCGAGGGATGGCACTCTCCAGACAGGTTGGCAAAGCCTCCTTTGCCACACAAGCCGACTTCTCAATGCAAGGCTTTGTTCCGAAGGCTTTTGGGACGAATAGTTCGAGATGCACATAAGTGAGTTATTAAACTGTTTTGATGTTTAAACCTCTTTATACTTTATGGCTCAAATGCGTCCGTCGGACTGAAAGAACCATGACTGGCTTTGTCAGGCATGGCACATGCCGACTATGTACATGATCCCACTGGATCACCCAGTGACAGCTGGGGAAGAGAAGTCTCCTTTTCCAAGAAACATGACCATCTTTGTCTAATGCATCTTGAAGTAGTCTTGTATGGTCGTGTGAAGGTTTCCACTTTGCAGGGGAGGAGTTTGATGAGCTCAGCAGTGTGCTGGTCAAGAGATACTTGCACATGATGAATTCCGATCTAAAGTTGTCGGATGTCCTCATAGACATCTTCACTTTGGACGCCTGAAACCTACGAACAAGCTTCAAAATCCGACACGCCGTGTTTTGCTTTCACTGACTTCTGAAAGATCAAAACACGTAGATGATTATGTTTTATATACAGTAAATTTGTCTTTCGAACATATAAGGTGTCTCATCGACACCAAGCGACACAGCTCCGTGATTCTTTGAGAAGGAGTGTGCTGCAGTATGTCTGAATGATTGTCGAGGGTGATTGTAATTAGGTCATAATTAAGAAGTTGACCCACCTGGGTGCAAGAACCTTGCAAGAGATGAACCCCCTGCGGCTCCAAAACCCCATGCCTATGGCATCTATGGCTCTGCAATGGTGAGGAGTGCAATCTCCCTGGACTCCCTGGTGTCAAAGAAGCAAAGGACGACTCGGTTCTGAAGGACAAACGGGGCTGAAAACTGTTCTGAACCGATGAATTAAAAGCCCATAAACTTACCCTGCCTGTCTAAAGTGCAAATGATCGGACTGGATCCAACAAACTCTGCAGTTCTTAGCTTCTACAAAAAGCAAATCGCGAGTCTGCATTTTGGGCACTTGCCTGGGTGCTGCGGCTGAACGGCGCAGGACGAAGCCAGCCACCGAGTCTGCCAATGAGATGGGAGTCTGAATATACTTTCTTTGCCAAGGTATCCATTTCCAAGGTGTGAATTGTTCCCTCGGTGATGTCCGATAAAATATTTACAGAACCATGCTCGGGCCACCAAGGAAGGGTTGCGAAACTGGCTCGAATGAGACAGCTATCCAATAGCTGTCAACTAGACTTGTGGAGCTTGCGAGGGATTGTGGTAGCACTTCTCATGATACCAGTGGTGATCTCTTGCGTTCGGTCATTCCAAATGCCATGAAATGACAGCCTGCTTGGCCGGTGTTGCGCACGACAAGTTGGTGGGCACACATTGGAACTCGCCGGAAAGGGGCCCACAAGATCTTTTTAGATTAGCAATGTTCCTCACAGCGTTCGACGGCTTTCGACTTCATAAAATGATGTCGCATACAGTACTCAATTGCAGCATCACAAACACAGGCAGACGAACAAGCCCACATACGCCCCAGTGCTCTTTTCAATTTGATACCATTGAACTGAACAAATCTTCTGATCTGGTTTACTGCTCAACTCTTTCCATTGTCACCCAAGTGCTGAGAACGCGACACAGTAGGCCGGCAATGGTGATCCCAAGCAACAGCCAGGAGCCAAACACTCCCTGGCACAAGGATGAGATGCATAAGCAAAAAAGATAAAACTCCAAGTCCATGGCTAAGGTTGGGGGAACAGGTGCAAGAATGCCTTTGTGGCTTGGACAGCGGAACGGCAATCACCACAGAATATCACGATAGTGCTAAGAGCTTCAAGAAAGTGCGGTCAGCGAATTGATTGTACAGTAACAAATGTCTTCCAGATCATGTTTGATATCAAAGCACATGTTTGGTTCCAAGATATTCCAAGCCTGGCCAATAGAATCTACAACATGTGGAGCACGTTTCAGATTTTACAATTGAACCATTGGGAGCGGAGATCATTGCCTTCAGCTTTTCGGCAGTGAAGGTCTTTGTCTGCCTAACAATGGCGTGTGACATTCACGATATTGAACAGAGACTAGGCTAGCTAGTCCTCAGCTCTTCGCAGGGAGAATGTTGAATGACCGTAAGCTTACTGTAGAGTGGCAATTGCTCTCACACATCTATTGCACAAGCTGCACGAGTCAGCCGACGATTTGCTCCAAAGTTCTACAGTCGTCTGCAACGACACTGGGCTTAAATAGGCGAGCAGTGATGCACACGTTTATGCAAACCAGCACTGACAAGGACTTCTCCTTGGCCTCTCTGGCAGTATTGTTTCCTCAACTTTGACCTGGAGTGTCTGGCTTGGGGGAGGGGAGCCTTTATCAAGTGACATGTCCAAATCTGAGCAATTAAATACCCCCAGTGTCCTAAGTCCTAACATTGCCTCGTTCGCTTCCCAAACCGGCAAAATGAAGCTATCATATGTTGTAAAGCATTGCGCTGAAGAGCTGAGCTTGGAACTAAACCAACATAAAAAGGTCCTATCACCCCAAGTAGCAAAAGTGAGCCCACCTAAACCATGACATTCATGCTTTGGTAGCTGCTGCGCCAATACTGAGCAAAGATATGTTCCAAATACAAAGCCTCACATGAAATCAGTTCCTTCATGTTGGTTCAATGAGTAAGACCGGCTGTGTGATTCGTGACTCTGGCCTCAAGTGTCTCTTTCTGAGGTTTTGTCTCCTCCACAGTGAACTGTGGAGCACGAGCCATCTTTGCAACATCCACTGCCTGAAATTTTGGTCAGACGAGATCAACATGGAGCAGTGAGAAGTCGTGATTGATACAAGGTGTTCTTTTGACTAAAGGGCCAGACTAAATCTTGCGTCTTCTAAGTGCAGAGTGGGAACGCCATAATAAGTTTCAACTGTTGATTGCTAAGCAGGACCATGACCGAATCATTCAGCTGCAAATGAGAACAACACAAATCATATAGAACTGCAAATGTGAGTGTGATCTAGTTCAAGTGCCGAAGGTGAACGGAAAAATCGTCCTGAACATGCCACCTGAAAGCCACGAACAGTGCATTCGATCCTGTTTGCTTGCAGGGCCCGAAATCTAGAAGCTATTAGTAACAAGTGCATCGCTACTAGCAACAAGTGCCACGCTACTAGTAACAAGTGCCTTACCAGTAGTAACAAGAAGCTATTAAAAACAAGAAGCTATTAGGTGGAAGAGCCTCACTGAGAACTCCCTGTAGCAGCTTTTTCCGTTGCTGGGCACGGAGTAACAGCTCCTGGGCAAGGAGTGCTGTCCAAGTGCTGACAGGCATCAGCATGAGGTGTACAAAGGTCATCGTGGCTGTACAACCCCTTCTGGAGGAAACCAAAGTGGATGAACGTTCAGGTCGTTTTTTTGAGGCCAGTCTGCAAGCGAGTGTGAACTGGCAGAGTCAACCAACAGATTGTTGCAATTTGGGAGATATTTGCAATCTGTTGCGGTTCCTAGCTTGGCTGCGTGTCCGCATCTGGCGGTTCCTAGAAGTGTTTCAACCTGTTTTCACGAGAGTTTTTCTTTCACACACGTTCACATGTTCCGTAGCAACTCCACCACAGAATAAACAATTGCCTTCCCACCTGCTAGCCTGGTTTCCCTCCCTTAAATGAGACGTTCTTCCACTAGCATGCATCACCTACCGCAACACCTTGTTTTTATAATCGGTTGAGTCGCCATCGACTCACATCCGCACATTTGAATCACTCCCAGCGACTCCCAATGTGTACAACCATTCGTCCATCGGACCACGCTGTCGTAACCAATAACGCATCGTCCAAACTGGCACCAGATCGTCGATCGTGACCAATGAAACACGGTGACCGTAACGGTCCTGTGCTCTGTTCTCAGTTCGTGATTCCAAGGCCTTTGTCAGTGACCTGAGAGGACGTATAGATCTTACATATGGCGCTTTTGAGATACACTGTATTCTCTTGGGAGGACTTGTTGATTTCAAAACAAGTGTGTTCAATCCAATGGCAAAAGGCATCCTGCTTTGCATGACATAGTAAGCTTCGAGCATACAAACATGTGACCTACTAGCACCACCCTTGCTGGAGAAACAATGCCGTTTGCTCATCTCAAATGGATGCCAAGGGTGTGGATGTCTAGAAGTTGTAGTTCGTGACCCCACTGCTGCCTGGAAGGCCTTTGAATTCAATGACGGCATCCCCTGAGTCCTTCGCCTCTCGAGCTCCACACCTGCCTGCCTTGCTTCCTCCACCAATTTCTTGCTATCCTCGCACCAAGACACTGCAAAAAATGGTGAACCATAAATGAAATTACCAAGTCTGCCCACTGGAGTGGAGTCATGTGCAATTCTATGCTATTGGCGCACTGCAAAGCACAACAGAAGTGCGAGAGGTCTAGTGGTTCTTCGCACAATGTTGAAGCAACACGAATGCTGGCCACGATTATGAGCCAAGCGCATCAAAATTTGACCTGTCTGAAGCTTACAGTTGTCGCAGTTGTGGTATAAACATCGAGTTGAATCAAGACTTCTTCCCGGCGCCTGTTTCCGAGCATCTCGCTGCAACATCTCAGACCAGTCTTTGGCCCCCTGCGCAGCTGTTTGGTTCGGAGCATCGGCCTTATCTCTTGGTGTTCCAGCCTTCATGAGCTTTTCCTGTGCGGTCTTGGCACTCTTGCGCAGCTGCTGGAGCTCTGCAGTGCGGAGCCTGGTCATGAGACTAGAACGGCCTTGAGTCAGGGATGGCCTCACAGGGTCCTAGGCCCTAGGCTTGTGAGCTGCCTAAGAAGCTAAGTCTAACAAAGTTAAGAATTATATGTTTATGAAACATAACAAACACAATACAAAGAAAAAGACAAAAACAATACACAAAAAAATGAACATAGGACAGTCACACGAAAACACAAGCGGACTGGACAGTCTGCGATAGAAACCAGCACTTCCAGAGGAAGAAAGGGAACACTCAAAAAGGCACTGGAACGGGTAACTGTTCTAGAGTTAGCTTTAATCCCGGTCATAACCCTAGGCCCTTCTAAATGGTGCAATATTCAATGATCAAAACTTAATGAGGAACCTAATAGCAATGGCCTCCAACCTACTAGCGATGGCCTCCACCCTAATATCAAGACAAACAGTGTTTTCTTTAGACTTCAGGACCAAACCAAACCAATCTTTGAGCTCTTCCAACTGCCAGCATCAGTCCCGCTCTCCCGTGCCTGGTAATGGCAGTTGAAGCTGCCCGTCCTGCATCTTCCAGCTCCTGACGGCTCTGAAAAGGGACAAACCTTTAGGGTCACTAGAAGGGTCTGTAGAGATCATTAGTCATGGCCCATGGCATGTCATCAGAGCCGTTTGGTCCTCTGCTTCTCGGCCCCTCTTTTCTTCTTTGTTTCCTCTTTGTTTCTTCTTTGTTTCTTCTTTGTTTCTTCTTCTCTTCTCTTCTCTTTTCTCTTCTCTTTTCTCTTCTCTTCTCTCTTCTCTTCTCTCTTCTCTTCTCTTCTCTCTTCTCTTCTCTCTTCTCTTCTCTTCTCTCTTCTCTCTTCTCTTCTCTCTTCTCTTCTCTCTTCTCTCTTCTCTTCTCTCTTCTCTCTTCTCTTCTCTCTTCTCTTCTTCTCTCTTCTCTTCTCTTCTCTCTTCTCTCTTCTCTTCTCTCTTCTCTTCTCTCTTCTCTCTTCTCTCTTCTCTCTTCTCTCTTCTCTCTTCACTC